TTAATCACACCTAGTGGTTATTTACTGGTACTACTGCCTTGACAATGACACTCCCAATAGATAAGATGAGGATAATTTATTAGCATTTAATACAGCTGTGTAATGATGTATAAATTATTAATATCAAAAAATTGTCTAACAGAATGTTTAACATACAACACATGACTTATTTTGGCATACAAACAACCAATTTGTAACCAAAGACTATTAACTATGCAAATGTGAATGAACTTTTATAAGTAACTTTGGTAAGTTTCGATCGGGGGTGGGGGTGGGGGGGGGGGCAAAAAATGCAGCCTGCCTAGTGTAGTCCATTTATTTAATCCGGTTTTGGTTGGGACCGGATCGGGAGTTCTGGTACTAGGAAAAGATGAATGAACCACTTGAGGTGAGTTTGGGAGTCAGAGACACTAATCGAAGGCTGGCGTCCAGATAATAGCGGGGGGGTCTGTACATATGTGGCTTCCTTGTGTCGGACATGATGAGGAACTGACAATTTTTGTGTCTTTTGATTTAATAGTTTTTTATTCAAACTAACAAGTAGAGCGATGATGTAGCTATTCTTTTCTACTTCTTAGTTGAATTACCAGACTCCATACTTCCAGGGCACACTGCTGCCCTCTGCTGGTTCTTTCAGGTTACAGTCATAGTCCAAATGGGTAACGGGGCGCTCGTATGTCCCTAAAAAGCTACTGTATTTAAGGATGGTGGATGACCATGGAGCTATGACCACAGTTTACTTATATAAAATGTATAATTTCAAGTTGAGAGGAATATTTAGAATTTGATATTACCATTTGATTTGATAGTAAACTGGTAAAAATATTACACACTGGGGCTTTAAAGCTAAGGCGATCCAACAAAATAATTGTGTGTGACTTACTTTTTTGGTGGTTTGATGTTTTGTTTTTTTCAGTAATGCAGTGTATGTTAGTAATATTATCACTTGTGTTCAACCTGAAATCATGACGATTTTGACAGATAAATGAGGAAAAATTCTGTGTTTAACACGTTTTTCCTGAACACATTTAAGATGAATGTTTTAAAGGTGTAATTGACTAAAAAACATATTTTGATTATTCTTTCTGATTATAATTGGTCACTCTGAGTTTTTCATGCAGGCTGAATACAAAAACAGTCTTCTACCACTATCTCGTGCATTAGCTTCTGATAGAAAAAAATGTTGAAACACTAGGAATTGAAAATCCTCATATATCTATGTCACACTGTGAATTTGCATTCATGGCTCCGCCCATCTTTGCTCATACTCACTGAGGAGAGAGAGTGGAAAGTATATATGTGGTAGTGACTTTTAGAAGGTGTGTGCATATAAGGCATTGATTTATAGAGAACACTGCAAATGTATTAAATAAATGAGTTAACTACACCTTTAGTTAGTGTGTCAATATTATTTTTCTGTTACCTGGTTCCTAACGGGTCACAATCCAGCTTTTTTTACTGCAAAATAGTTTAAGCAAATCTAAACGTTTACGAGCATTTAAACACTGCCACAGGTGCAGATGGGACACAACTTAGTGAAACAGCAGTAACATCACTGATACTCAGGTGCAGAACTCAGTTATTTATATAAATTAAGTGGGCTCATAAAAACAAACTATTACTGCATTTAAGCAGGACTTTGACAGAAATAGGGGTGTCGGCATTATACATTTAAATACACTAAGTTGGAGGTCTGAAAACTCATATTGCATGATTTAAACAAAAAAAAGCTTGTTTTTTATGAAGAAATCTCTGAATGCTTCCGAGTACCAAATCTGGTGAGGAAAGAAGTTCACAATGTTAATTTATGAAAATCTGCTAAATGATGCACTGAACTGCATCAATAAATTCATTATATACAGTATGGTGATTATTATTTAGTGATTAATCAATTTCCCTCTGGGATTAATAAAGTATTTTTAAATTGAATTGAATCATTAAAGTAAAAAGAAATGATGTCAATCTGAGGAATTATTGTTTTACCGGGTAAACTGAAATTGTGTCCAATCTCTTTTAGCCCTTAAAATCAATTATGTTGGTATGAAAATCCCTCCAGTAGCCCAGAGTATGTGTGGGACAGATAAAGACTAACACTACTAAAATCCCAAATTTTTGTCCACAAACCTTTTGGAGTTTTAGTCATCTAAAACTGAGATACATTTTCGTCCAAAAGAGAGACTAAAACTAGGGCGACTGCGATGGACATGTCCCCCGCATTTCCCGCGACAGTGTCATCTGCCCCCAGCACTTTCTTCAGCCATTTAATCCCTTATATATATTTAGCCCTCTTTAAAAATGCCTTAGGCATACACACGTTAACGAAGCATCCAGTGGACAAACAGGAGGAACAGCAAGATGTTCAGCATTCATCCATTTCTAGATTTATATAACGCCTTCCCACCACCAGTCAACGCAGCCTAAGGCACTGAACATCATACAGTACCGATAAAAGAGTAATAAAACACTGAGTAATAAAACTGTCCCTGCTAATGGTTGGAAAGCAAACACTCAACATATTACCTAAATAGAAAGCAAAGCAGCCAGAGCAAGCTAAGGCAAAAACTAAACTTTACACAGTTCTTTCCAAACTGTAAACTGAGATATGTTGTTGCATGCAGGTCCTATTAGCTACCTGGTAGCTCGGTATGCCAACATATCATGCTAAACTAGTAAAAAAGGTTGTTTTATCCTTTAACGCTTTCCCATGCTGGGAATAAATTCAGTTCTCTTCATTTCTGTGCAGAACTCGTGCTCACTGTGTAGCTCCATGTGTTAAAAAACAAAAACAATCAACCGGGAGGGTCTATAGGTGGAAAGAGAATGTTTCTATGGCATAAAAGGAGCTTGGAGGCCCATTTCCACAGTAATTTCACTGCCGCTCTTTTCTCCGTTGTTCCAAACTTTTGTCCACATCTTTCTTTATTTTTATTGCCACAACAGAGCCGAGTCAGGGAGGAGACATCAGTCGAGAGGGATGATGACGTCTCACAGGTAAGGAGATACTTACTGAGGAAAAACAAGACTTCCAGTGCTGGGAGGCACCAGGCATTCATTGGGACAGGGTTGTCACAGATTATTCTTATTCACACAATAAAACATTTTAATAGGCAATCCAAGAAGAATATGTGCCAGAGAACCAGGCTGCAGCACTGATAGGCAAAGCCTGCAGACAGTAATAGAGCAAGGGTTTGGACCATCTGAGGCCACTCTAAAGCCACATCAGCCAGATCACAGGGCCACTGTGTGTCAAAGGTTGGCTGATAAAACTCTAAGATTTCAGAGAGAGTGGTATGAAACCTACCCCTGGGCTCATTTCATCCCAGGCGTTGAAGGAGTTGTGCTTTTATCATAGCAGATATTCAGTCCCTCTAATTTTAAAAACCGGAAGAAGGGCCATGAAAAGTTAGCATTACATGCAAAGTCAGAATGTCAGAAAATATTCTTGACAGCACAAATCTTATCAAACTAGACTGGCGGATGTGCAACTGTTACGAGGCACAAACATGTCTGTTAAAATCATGCGTGCTGCATGGCAGGTTCTTGCTCTAAGTGGGCATGACAATGAAGATGACCCCAGCTGAGGAAAAGGTTGACTTCCCCAGTTGGCTGCACAAGTCCCAGATTAAAAATGAAATCCTGAGTTTATTGAGCCTCTTCATGGTGCTTAAAATTGCAGATAACATTAGTTCACTTCCACAGCTGCAGTTCTGTGTCATTCTGGATGGAACACAGACATGTGAGGAATGAAGCAGAAGGCAACCAAAGTCAGGTGCTATGAGACACCTGAGGAGGACAAGTGAATCAGGATCAGGGAGGAGCAGGATTTAGATTTGTTGTTTACACTTTTAATGGTAACGCTGAGATCCTGGGCCTGTTTAAGGAAGGTTTACATGGCATTTGCTGCTCCATTCATAATTGTTTTTTTCCTTCCATGTTATAGAAAGAAATTAAGTTTTTCAACACCCAAACTTTGAAATCCACAAATGCACTGAAGCATGTCATCAATCCACAACAAAAAGATGTCCTAAAGAATCACAGCAAAAGTGCAACCCCTACCAGACAGGCCCAGGCCAGTTGGAAAAAATGTATTCATGCAAATTGAAACTGGTCAGATTCACTTGGTGATGGAATATTAGCCTGTTAAATGTTGCTAGTGGACACGCCAGTCGAATGAAACCAGGACTTTCGACCCTTTTCCTCTCGAATCACTACCTGCATGTTTTCTACATTTCTCTGCACCGAAACACCTGGTTTGAACCGTTTGGTGATTAACAGGCATCTGAAGAACTTGAGGACCTGCTCATCTGGCGTGTTGGAGCAGCAAACAAGCTGAAACTGTCATGCAGTGGCCCCCCAGGACCTCAATCCAACACAATCCCCCTTTGTGAAAAACAACAAGACTTCTATTATCTGTATGATCGTGTGGCTTTTGTTCTCTTGACCACTAAGACAACATCGCAGATGTAATGATACCCACAGCATACTACAAATATTTACATGATTATTTACATGTGTTTACATATGTATTCATGAGAGGGAGTGTATTTTTAATCCGATCAAATTGCTACTTTGGGTCAGCTTGGTCCTGGCGTATCAACTTCATACTGAGCAGATATTTGATAAATAGTAAAGGTTAGATCTGGTCCTTCTTCACCTAACTGCCCTAGTACTGAGTCCAGGGCAGAAGGCTAACAGAAAAAGGTGTTGGCTTCTCTCTGTATGCAGCAGGCACAGCGAGCTTCTGCAGAGCAGGCCTCCTCAACATCACCAGGAGAACAGAGAGTCACCCCCTCTGCTGCTGTCCCTCTCTTTATGTCTTTTTCTCTTCTTCATCCCTTGCATCCTTCTGAGAGCATTAGCATCATAGTGCTCATTAAAGCCGCATTCCAAGAAGGATTAGACACACACACACACACTCATGTTGCTGGCATCAAAACTGAATGTCTCTCAAACATGGGGGAGCACACAAACCAGCAATGAGCAGGTTCAAAAGTACGTACCGCATCTCTCTGCCTATTGTCCCTCATTCCATGCTGCTCCTTGCTTCTTCTCTTCTTGTTCTGTTAGATGCTGGATGAGAATCTGCTCAGGACAGTGTCCTCACTGCTGTGAAGAACAATATGAGCCAAACAGAGAGGAGGCTAATGCTAGCTAGCCAGGAGCCCAGTATGGGATGATGAGATTGGAGGAAAAATGACGGTGATGATACAGCACCTTTGAGTTTGACAACATAGAAGAAGAGAGAAGGGGTGGGCACCCGGTTTCCTTAGAGACTGAGATGATGTGATGGAGAAGGTGGAGCTGAACTCTGATTGGCTGACAGGGTGTGGTGGTCCCCTTCCAAGGGGAAAGGAGGGGGAGGGGGAGAATGACAGAGCAAAGGCTGGGATTTCAGAAGCAGCTGCTCTCCATTTGTCCAAACAAGCGTGGATAGAAAAGCTACAGAAAAAACACTTCAGCTCCCCCAACTGGACACTCAAGGGTATCAAAAGGACCACTGCAGGAAAGCATGAACTTAGCACTGCTCTTTGAAGATATAATGTATAACATTATTAAACAGCCATATGTTGGGGGGGGGGGGGGGGGGGGGGTTCAGAAACAGCTTGCAAATATTAAAATGTATTATTATACATTAAAAAGCTAAATATATTTTCATGTGTTCACCAGATAATTGTCTTACGTCCTTCACCTAGGGTGAATGCTGTATCCTCCTGTTACTCGTGTACAGCTACTGTAACTTTCTAGTGGCTCTTATAGTTTCTATTTTAAAGGCGCATGGGGCAGCATGAAGAAACTAAACTCACGAGCAACGCGCTCGGAGCTGTGAGTAACTGCATCTCGGCACAGAAGGGCCCACAAACGCTTTACTAAAGGGGAAAAAAGCTGACATTAGCATTTTCATTTAGCCATGACACTAATGATGTAAAGCAAGTGCACCTTCCTCTGACAAACACAGCAGCTGGTTTGGTAACTGGTGAGCTGGACAATAACATGATGCTACTTTATTAGAACAAGGCTTTGTGGCTGCTGGTGATTCATGACAGTTTTAGGCTAATTATAGCTATTATTTTGGATAAAGCTTGCTAACAAGCTAAGCTAATGTTATTGTGCAAGAACATCCAATGTTTCAAGCCACTGAGATCATTTGGTAAATTATTAGCATTACAGGACAACAATGTAAATAACAACACAAATGATGGATTACATAAAATGCATCATATATCATCCCCTTGAGGGTAATAAATATTTTTTATCATCATTGTTTTCGTTTCAGAGATTGACTTGAGGAGGAGTGATGGAGCACACTGAGCCATGCAGCAAACAGCAGCTCTTATGGAAGAGGACCGAAACCTCACACAGCTAGATGCAGGTTGGGTTTAGCCATCTGTGTAAAAAACAATGTAAACAACTAAAATAACACTGACTTGAGATATGAATCTAGTCATGTAAACATGTTCCTGATTCATTTCTAAACAGCTTTACAACATCTGAGCCAGGAGGAAAAACAACTTTCTCCACAGAGTGGTGACCCGTCTACCTGGGGTGATGCTGGACATCCTGGAATTCCGGCAAGAGACACCAGGACCTCATCTTTTTGATCGTGGGCAGCCGAGACCGAGAGTTTCTGTTTCCTGCCTACTCTTCACAGTTCACAATCTGGCAACATGAGCGTCTGGGAAAAGGGAATCAGAGGCCAACACCAAGCCGCTGCGTTGAAAAATTCCCTGATCCATTAGGAGATGACACTGGCTAAGCTCCACTTAGGGTGGCAGACTAAATGTTTAATCTATGATAACAAAAGCTCACAAACAACCATACCTCACAATAACAGTCATTAGCTGAAGACCACACTTTAATACACAAAATAAATGTGCATCTTATTTATTTTCATTTATTTGCACCCCACTGGACTGTGCATCTTAACCAAGGAGAGACTGAACTGCTTATGATGAATCAAATGAGATAATTATTCACTATGTAAATTTGTGAATATTTATTGAATGGCCCTTCGTTACTTTTTTGCTGTTTACTATTTTTGTTTGCATGAATACAAGGTACCTCAAAACCAAAATGTTGCTTTGTTCAGTCTCCTTCTTTTCTCTGCTCCCAGAGCCAAATTTAGACTTCTGATCATTTTTGCAGTATAGTGATACTTGGCTATCATTTTCAGAGTAACATAACGGTTACATATCTAGGTGAGCCAGCCAGGAGCGGAGAAGGGAGCTGAACATAATTCTATATTTGTGTGGTATTTGTACATTTGTTGTTTAAAAATGGAAATATTGAAGAACATGGGCATTAAAATTCCAAATGGGTTTTGATAGACAGTGAGACTGACCCCGGCTTTCCACCGGAGCCGTCAGCAGCACGTTACTGCAGCAGCACGTCATAGCTGCTGATAGGAACCGCTGTGGTCAACAGAACCTTTTCCACGGGAGTCGTCAGCAGCGTGAGTCGGCCGCGTCTCAGGAGCAGCATGTCGCGGCCTTTACGCGCCGGTTCTATTTTCTACGCGCGACGCCTCTGAAACGGGTCAAGTTCGACATTTTTGGGGAAGGAAAGACAGGAAATCGGACACGGAAATGGAGAGAAGCTCCTGAGATTTTCAGATTAAAGAACGTACTGCCTTCCGGTCGCTTTACTTTTAACAAAGGTTACTAACTGTGCGTCCCCGTGAGAAGTTATCACCTAGCTAGCGGCCTCCTTTGTTTTTCAGGTCCGTATTGGCGATTATAAAACGGACAGAACATAAAACACAAACATTTTGGAGCCATGTTGTAGTTTTCTCCTGCTTGTTGTTGTGTTTACTGACGAAGTCAATCGTGTGACTTTGTTCTCGGTCGGTGACAGCTGCTCCCCTGCTGCTTCGCGTCTCGTGGGAAGGGCCAAGCAGCAGCTTACGCGAGCAAGACGTGCTGCTGCAGTAACGTGCTGCTGACGGCTCCTGTGGAAACCCGGGGTGATACTGAAACTGATAACGAAGTACTTGATTTTTTAAAGGCATATGGTTTTATTTCAAAATCTGAAATTATTGATGACTCCAAGTCAGCATTTCACCATTTCATAGTGTTGGAGTATAGTTCTGGGACCACATTGGTTGTGTTACGTCCAATTCTGCCTTATACATATGTGTGCGAAACTGGAAAGGTTAAATATTAAATTTCGGATATTTCTACAGTTTATGATGATGCAGTAGAGAAGCAACAAACCAATGATTACCTTTCTAATACAGTGCAGATAGAAAGAGTCACAAAACAAACTGGCCAAGATTTTTCAGTTGCCCTGAATGGCGTAATGTCTCTGCTTGGTCAGGCTGTTTCCAGGCTCCACACCCGTACCATCAAAGACGGAGATCTGGAAGAAGATGATAAAAATCCTCTTATTGGTCTTGCCTCTTCAGATTAGCAGACAGGCCCAGCCAGATCCAACCATTCAAAATACAGCAAGATCTACTCCACCAACAATGGCGTGCAGGGATCTAAATCCACCCGAAGTCCAGCATTATGTGGTTGAACATATTGTGAAGAATGACAAAATTGCAATGAACCTGTTAGCACAGCATTTTAGAGCCTTCTCGGGAAGATTGCCGAGACCTTCAACAGAAGCTGACTATGACACGTAGCATTCTAGTATAAAATTACTATTGAAAGATCCCGCCGTATCTGACTTACAACGTTCACGCAAGATTTTGACAGCTTGCTGCCTCCTGCTGCAGACGTTGTGAAGTACCTGAGACCAGACACTTCTCCAGCAGTGTATCTACAAACCCTTGATTCAGCACATGGTGCGGTTCAAGATGGTGATGAGTTATACGCCAAATTTATGGATACGTTTCAAGATGCAGGTGAAAAACCATCCAACTATCTGCAATGTCTACAGGTGGCGCTGAAGCAGGCAATCAAAAGAGGCGGAGTTTCGAATAAAGATTTTGGCAGACATCTCTTGACTCAATGTTGCCGTGGCTTTTGGGACGACTCCCTGATAACAAAACTCCAATTAAAATAGCGGAAAAATAATCCCCCATTATTTGCTGGATTGCTGCTTTTGTTGCGGACTAAAGAGGATTGTGAAGAAGCCAAAGTCATTCGTATGCAACAACATCTTGGCTCTTCATGCTCCAGAGCTACAAGTCATTCACAGTACGTCTATGCAGACGATGCAGAAAGAGGAGAAATTGCTGCTCTTACCAACATGCAGCAACTTGCTAAACAGCTAGCTGATATTCAGAAACAGCTTGCAACACTTACTGCTGCCCAGTCGAGTTACAATCAGCCTGTAATTCCTAAGTCCACACCTGCTCATATGCTGGGTGAGGGGCAGAGGGCAGGCAATCAATTAAAAAGAACCTGTCTTCTGTTCCCAAACCTGGCTACTGCTATCAGTGCGCTGAAGATGGTCACATAAAAACGCATTGTGATAACCCCCCAAACTCAGCATTGGTTGCTGCCAAGAAGAAGCAGTTTACAGAAAAGCAGCAGAGGGGGCAAAGGTTGTACTTCTCCTCCAGATCATCTTTAAACTAAAGTCAGTTCCAGTTGAGGGGCAACCTGGAACTGCTGTGGACCCACAATGTCCCAACCTGAAGAGGAAACACATCAGTTGTCAAGAAATTAGCCAAAGTACCAAAGTGACTGTGCCACCTCTGTTACCAAAAGGGTTGGTCGGGTCTCGTTGCACAACAAACATGAACATTTCTGGTGAAGAATTTAACTGTTTGATAGATACTGGATCACAAGTCACCACAATTCCTGTGTCATTTTCTAACCAGCATTTTACAAAACCAGCCGGTGAAACCTCTATGTGACTTTCTACAAGTTGAAGGGGCCGCAGGACAGATTATTCCTTACCTTGAATATGTGGAGATGATGGTCACCCTTCCGAAAGAGTTCCTGGGAACTGATTTGGATGTTTTAACATTGGCACTGGTCGCTCCTCATGTTGCATCTCATCCATCTCATGTGTTAATTGGCACAAATACACTGGACAAATACACCAGTCTGCATATGAGGAGTGAGTTTTCAAACTTCCAATCGACTGCAAGTGGCTATGGAGCAGTACTCAAATTACTGCAAGTACACAATCAGCAACAACAAGACAGTGATGGATTTGTGAAGTTAGCCAGCAAGATCATCATCCCACCTGGGCACACTGTGGTTATCAATGGCTCTGTTTGTGCCAGTATGCCGCCCCTGGGTCAGTGGGCGCTTGTGGAGCACCCAGCCTCATCACTGCCAGGTGGGCTGTGTGTCAAAAATTCTTTGATTATGCTCCCAAGCCAATCCCATAAGAAACTTCCAATCATCCTGAGTAATGAATCAAACCAGGATGTGACCATCCCACCTTTTCACATTATTGCAGAAGTTGCTGTGACACCACAAACATTTTTTGTCACAAAATGTGTCTTCAAGTGGTTCACAATCTGAAAGTTCTTGTACTCCTCTGAAGCTGAATTTTGGAAAGTCACCTATTCAACCTGAGTGGAAAACAAGAATTACAGGAAAACTCAATCAAATCCCAGGTGTCTTTGCTCTCAGTGACATGGACTTTGGATGTACAGACAAGGTAAAACATCATATAAAAATGAACGATGACACTTCATTCAAACATAGAGCCAGACCCATTCGTCCTCAGGACATTGAGGCAGTGCAACAGCATCTAAGAAACCTGCTGAAGGCTGGTGTCATTGGTGAGTCTGAGTCACCTTTTTCATCACCAGTTGTTGTGGTCCATAAGAAAGGTGACATACGGTTGTGCATCGATTACAGGAAGTTGAACCTTCAAACAGTTAAGGACGCCTACCCCCTGCCAAATCTGGAGGAGTCTTTTTCTGCTCTAAGTGGTTCAAAATGGTTCAGTGTTCTTGATTTGAAATCTGGATACTACCAGTTTGAGATGAACGAAGCCGACAAAGCTAATACTGCCTTTGTGACACCCATTGGCTTTTGGGAGTTCAATCGGATGCCCCAAGGGCAAATGCTCCATCCACATTCCAGCGGCCAATGGAGAAAAGTATGGGGATCTCCATTTAAGGTGTGAGGTATTTGGGACATACATAGTTTTGGAAATGGGAGTGGAGACCGACCCAGACAAAATCCTAGCTTTGAAAACCTGGCCAGTTCCAAAGATTCTGAAGGAGCTTAAGTCATTCCTGGACTTCGCTGGTTATTACCGGAGATTTATAAGAGGGTACTCAGTCATTGCAAAACCTCTCAATGACTTGACGCAGGGTTATCCATCTCCTTCCAAGTCCCAGAAAAGGCTTAAGCCAATGAAGACTGCCCAAGATGCAAAGCAACCCTTTGGAGAACAGTGTAGGGAGTTATTGGTCAACGAATAATTTGTAAGCTTTTACTTACTTTTTGGATTCTTCAATAAAATTTGTAAATATGGAAATATTTACTGATTTTATTACGTAATTAGGATATCCGGAGATATCCTCGGGGCACCACCCTTTGAATTAGAAAGGGAAATGAATCCAAACCTCTTATCAAACTGGTCTAAACTTTCTGCGAATCTTAACGAGCTGCAGTTGAATTTTATATCACACAAACAAATCCACTTGAAACAAAACTGAATTGGCAATGACCTTTATTAGCTAATATATTCACTTCAGCTCCTTCTAAAGTGTTTAGCCAATCAACATCAACCAACTTATTTTATCAAATGAATAACAACAATGAAACCATGAAATGATACCGTAACATATTCTGACCCAATGGGTGTGTGTGTGTGTGTGTGTGTGTGGGGGGGGGGGGGTAAGCTGAGATGATGTCCAAGATGGAGGCTTTGACCCAAAATGTCCATGGCTGAAGCAAATCAGACTGGCCTGTGTGGGGAGGGGTATGTTTTAGCGCAGACCCTCAGTTCTGTGTATGAGCAACTTCTTTCTAAATCTTGAAAACCAGTCAATGACTTAACTCTTCACAAACTCGACTTACTTACTTTTTTGGATTCATCAATAAATTCGTAAATATGGAAATATTTACCAATTTATTATGAAATTAGGAAATCCTTGGATGTCCTCGGGGCACCATCCCCTTTTTACAGGGGAAAATGAATCCACACCTCTCATCAATCTTGTCTAAAGTTC